AATCAACACACTCCACAATGAAACCAGCAGAATCCACATATCCTACACTTGTCTATCCCAGTATGTGGTATACGTCGTCCAGTGCACCAAATGTCCCCACAAGCTATGTGGGTGAAACTAGACAAAAACTTCACCAGAATGATTGCAGAAAAAGACAAAGGACAGAGCCACTTGAACACAAGTGAGGAGAATGTTATTCACAGAAAAAAACATTCCCTTTCTGACTTCAGTCGTCACACTCAAAGACAGAATTACAGATTCCCATTCCCCAAAGTCTTGGATTAATGGGTTAGCTACGGAGAGCAATGAACTTCTCTACCCAGTAACAAGAAGGAAAAAGCCTTCCAAGCCTTCCTCTAGGATAGACACACAAAGGGTCAGGAATGATTGGGAACCTCTAGTGTCCTCAACCACCCAATGCATACCTATAGAAAACTGCCTCATCAGTTGCAAGTAGCTGATTACAGTGCAGGGACCAGGGAAAGTCTAGCCAGAGTCACTTCCATTGGACACTGCCTTAGTTCTTGCTAACACTTTCCTATGTGAACAAAGCAACCTAGCAATTCTTTCTTCCCAGCACTTCCAATTTGACCCTTAGAAGTATAGCTGTTCACTTCCATCTTAATCCCCTAACCCCTTTGGCTATAGGCAAAAATTACACGTAAACAGGTATAAGTGATCAGAAACTGGTTTAAATCTGTAACAAAAGAATTTCAGTTCACATACACTGCTTTCAAAATGGCCGAACCCAGTTTAAGATAAACCTGGATGGATGTAGTATCAGACTTAATTGATTTAGGTTAAATCAGTTTACTGAACTTCTGTCCCAGATTCCCCTCAAGTTAACTCACAATCCCCCAGCATCCTAAGATGCTTTGCACCTCCCCTACAAGCTCCCCTCACGGGGTGGGTGAGCTAACTTTGGCTCAAGCTGTCTGCTCCAGACCAGCAGGGAAGGCTTATCTGTTCAATCGATGCAGTTTAGTCTAAACCTGCAAAAACTGGGCCAATTCAGTCTCAGGTTTTTTTGACTGTCTGTACTTTAGGTCAGTGTAAGGGAAGAGAGTGCAATTGGCATATACAGTTCCCTGTTTCCTTTTTCTCCTTGGCACATGCTTGATTCTCATATTTCAATGCTGTTGTTTCACAGATCACCAAATACAGAGGAAGAAACCAACGTACATGCATCTAACCATAAATAGTGTAACCCATATGGTTTTATGTAATCTGTATTACAAAACAATTGTTTGAACTGGTTTCATTGAGCCCTTTGGTAAGCATGCATACAGTTTGTATGAGCTGCAGATACAGAAATATCTGGCACCACTGTATGTTGTAAAATTTAAAAACCAGTTCCCATATATAACATACTGTGTTTTGTGTTATAAGGTAACTTTTGTGTGATGGTTTTGACTGTCAGATTTGCAGATTTCAGTGTCACTAAAGTCATGTTAACCATCAATATTCATGTTGTCTTATTTTAGAATATTTTGGGGACTTACTGGCACTAAGATTTAACTTTAGAAAAATGAAGGCAGTTGTCAGAACCAGATAACATGTAGATTTTCATAGACTCTCATTATGACTTTATTTTTTTAACAAAAGAATATAATATAGCAGTTTCTCAATTTTACGGACTAGCAGAATAATGTGCACTTTGGCTGCTTAGTCCAAATCAACTCACTTAGGCAAAGCGGCTACTATGTGGTGGTGAACTGAGCCTGGAATTTATAAGGGCAAACTTTCAAACTGCTGCCCAAGAAACACAGAAACTTCTGCTTGCATGTACAAGACCCTCAGATATATGTGTAATTGGATGGGTAAACACAAAATTATCCCATCTGCTCATGAAATTGCTCATTTACCCACTGAAATATGTAGGGCTTGCACAGGCAATTTTAGGTTTGCTTTTGATTTATAGTACAATACAAGGCTTCGGGTAGATCCTCAGCTGTATAAACGAATGCACATCCAGTAAACTTGATGATACTACCTTGAGTTACCATATCTGAGGATGTACAATGGCTGGGAATATGGATTGAGATATTATTACACTAAATGTACTCCACTACCACCATAGAGGGTCAAACCTTGAATCTTTGGAACTGAAAATGAAAATATTTTCCACTTGAACTAAAGGATGCCTCTAGCTCTTAAAATGCAGCAAGCTGGAATCATGGCTAGTGCTAATAAGAAACATGATCACACACAATAAACCACTTTATTTCACATACTTTCTTGGCACACCCAAACTCCCGTTAACTTCAATGGGTATTTGAAGGCATACAGGAAGAATGTGCAAAAATGCAGAACTGTGCTAATTGCACAAGAATATGTTGTAAGATGTTACTGTACATGGTTGATTTAATTAGAGAAAGGATAAATACAATGATCTGAAACATATACTATATCAGTTAAAATAGATCATTTGCAAGGATTCATAAGGTCTTTTTATCCCATGCACAAAAGTATAGTTTGTGCATTACAAATAAAGTGACTATACAATAGTGTTAAAACAATATACATCACCATAATAAAGGTCAATACCCTGTCTTCTGCCTAATATTTTGTATCTAAATGTGTACAAAAATATTGTATAAAATTACTACAGAGTAATCCAACATAGGGACACTCTTTGAGTGATGGTACTTGAGAAAAGAAACTTTTGACAACTATAGATCAAGAAAAGAAAAGAATAACTGTCATAACTGACTCTATTAAATATACCTGGCATACAAAATATTGCCTACAGGATTTCATGAAAAGTTTAAGGAAAAGGTATGGCATAGCTTAGTCTGTATATTAGCAGATCAAAATAGCTACTCTGCAATATGTCAGCATCACACTTCACTGTGTTCATTGAGGTTGTTGAAATTCTGAAATTGAAGAAATAGAAAAGTCTTATTGCATGTTACTACATTCTCACTTGCACTGTGCTAGTGTGAGGACATGAAATAGCAGCAGCTAAAGCATTACTTTAAAAATAAATTACACTGTAAAAACCAAGAAATCGAAAAGGGATCAAAATAGCTCAAGATCAGATGAGCAATAAGCTTCTTGCCATTATAAACAAAATGAAGCCAATGTGATATTAGCACTGGAGACCAAACACAAATAGAAGATTCTTGGTATTTCATAATGATCAGACTTAAACATGGAAAGGGAAGATCATGCCAGCCTGCCCACCTCAGTGACAGGGCTGAATTATTTCCCACACAGTCTCAAGTGGAAAATGAAACAAAGCAAACACTTTCCACCAGGTCCACTTCCTTATTTTCCCATTCATGTGTTGTCTTCCCTGTTTTCCCTCCACTGCCATCTTCTCCCATTCAGGTGTTATGGGGAAGGAACATATCAAGCAGTATGAATATTCCAAAGAGTCATCAGCAGCTCAGATCAAGGCGTGGAGGAAGTTAAAAAAAAAAGGAATAGCAGGGTTAAATTTAATCTAACTTTTAGTGTCTCATGAAATCCTTTTAGAGAACCTCTGAAATTCTGCAGTTTTTGTGTGCACCATTAGAGGACAATGGCATCAGGGATGGTAATTCAGATTTATGGGTTCTTGTCTCAGTTTACCACCAGCTTTCACAATGGCTTTGGACAGTGAACTAGGCTTCTTTTGCCTCAGTTTTTCCATGTATAACATGGGAATAATATTACTTAATGAACGTCTGCATGTGTAAGAGAGTTATATTAGCATAACTGAAGGTGGCGTGACTAGGGCACAAAAATAACCATCCCCAGCACTGCCACTTCCTAGTGTAATGAGGGTTAATTAATGGTGATTTGAATTTGGAGAGTCCCTAATGAAAGCTGCCAAGTATTATGTTTTAAAACATAATATTCGTGTGAAATGTTGTATTTGGGCAGAATTGGACACAATAACGAATAATCATCAGAGTTTGCAGTGTCACGATACATTATTTTTGCCCTGCTGTTCTCCATTAAGAGTTCTGTTGTTGGATGGAGGGTAATATGCTAAGTATCACTGAATGAGCCATATTTCCCCTGTCCTGTAATTGACTGAACAAGCACATTGATGCACCTTTATTTGAGCAAATCCAACAAAGACAAATTTTGTCTGGGAGCCAAAAAAGAGGCACTTCTAATGTAATTAGCAGAAAGTGCTGGCTTATAGTAACTGACAAACACATAGTCCATTGACTAGTTTAATGTTTTCTGGAGAAGCTGGACTCTGGCCATCTCTGTAGTCATGACCAAATTATGGGAAAATAACTAAGATCACAATGGAAGAAGTGTCTATAGTTATGAGCACTAACCAGGTTTATAACTCTTCTCACAAGGAATGAAATAACTGATTTTTACCAATAAAATTTGATGCTTAACTTGGCACTTTTTGTATCAAATCAAAGCTGATTTAAGCCTCATCTCTCAAATGAACTTTTTTTTCTCTTTGCAGTTTTTTCTTCCATTTCTCAAGATTTTTCTGCTCTCTCATCTACAGACTTTCATGGAAGCAGGGTCTACACTGCCCACTGAAGTGCATTATAGAGAGCACGTCTACATAGGAGACTTACTGCACATTGGACTAATAAAACTGTGCAATAGCATGTCACAGTCAGAACCAAGCTAGGAACCCATCTACCAGCACTACTGCACAATAGCTTTAGTTAATGCACATTAACTTTAAGGAAGTACTAAACTAAATGAGCAGTATCTAAGGTTATTAAGGAACATGTAGACGTGCCCAGACAGTCCTAAATGAGCTCTCAGGAAAGTAGACAGCAGCAGTCTAGGTGCACATCTAGTACAGAGCTCCATGCAACTTAATTTACCTTGCTTCTAGCATGAGTATCCCTACACAACACTGCACGATGCAGTCTAGACATACCTTAAGCCTCTTTTTTTCTGTACAGTTCCTCTGCTTTCCTCAGCCTTTTAGCTCCATGTTATGCTTTTAAATATGAGTTGAGGAATTCTACTTCCTCTGGGCAACTTCTGCTTTGGCATAACCAAACTGTACCATGACTATATCTGCACTGTGGAATAGATACTTGAGATACCTGTACAAAAAGTACTGTAGGCAACAAGAGCACAACTCAGTACAGGCCGCTTTAACCAGTCAAGAAGCTAGCTCAGATGGATAAATGAATAAGACTCACAAGAAGATTAGACAAATTCATGCCTCATAGCCCCATCAGTGAGGATTAAACATAATAGTAGGGCTGCAACCTCCAAATTGGGATTTTCTAAGCTTCTAAATGCTGGAAGCTGTAAGGGAAGAGGAGCAGGGGACAAATGAGTGTGGATATGCCCTCCATAAATACTCTTCCCCTTAATATTTGCTCTGTGCTACTGTGAGATAGGACAGTGGCTAGATGAGTCTCAGCTTGGACCCAGCATGGTATCACTTATGTTTTTTATAGTCTTATCTCCACATTATACTGTAATTGGAACTGGAGGCACACCCCATATTATGTACCAGAGTACAGCAGGCCCAGAATCCAGGACAAAAGCTACCAAGATATAGAGATTATTGATAAAAGAAAGGGAGAGATGATGAAAGAGTAGGACTGTCAGATAACTCTTCAGTTGAGCCTGGGACAGCAGCCAGCGGGCATTTATGGGCTTGAACAATCCATCCTTAGAACCAGCTGCCAAAGATACAGAAGAAGGGGAGCTCACTGACTATGCAAGGGCTCCACAGAGTAATAAAGTCCTATAAATAACCAAAGTCAGCCTTTGAGACTTTTGATTTCATCTATTCAAACTCACCCTGTTAATCTGAATAGCACCAATTGCAGAGGAAACAGATTCAAAGAAGATAGGATTTTCAGATCCTAGGTTTTCACTGTACTGCATTGCTTTTATCAGGGAAGCTGTAATGAAATATACACATTAACATTAAAAAGTAATGTGGGCTTTAACTCATTCTTCAAAACTTTTCTTGTAAATTGATACTTACCTTTGCAATGTGCTAGTAACACATTAATGTTCTGATTTTTACAATCCATGTAAATCTAAATGAAAAAAAACCATGAATTTAGCAAAACTATTTGAAGCATCACATGAGAATAAATCAAGCAAAAACAGGTAAGAAACGTACTTTAATGCTATTCAAATTACATTGAAAACTACCACTAGAGGGAGCTATTCTATAATCTAAAAATGATGACGTGTTAGGACTAGCAAGCATGATTAGATTTTTTTTTTTTTTTTGGGGGGGGGGGGGTTTTTTTTTTTTTTTTTTTGGGGGGGGGGGGGTTTTTTTTTTTTTTTTTTTGGGGGGGGGGGGGTTTTTTTTTTTTTTTTTTTGGGGGGGGGGGGGTTTTTTTTTTTTTTTTTTTGGGGGGGGGGGGGTTTTTTTTTTTTTTTTTTTGGGGCGGGGGGGTATTGTTTTGTTTTGTTTTTGGACACCAGTAAATGTAGTTGTAACTGATCTGAAACATTTTTTAAATTCAACATGAATTTATGAAGAGGAGACCATGGTGAAAATAGTGATGTTTCCCTTACTCACATGTCCTGGGGTTACAGCACTAGCCCAAGATGTAGAAGACCCTTCGTTCAAGTCTCACTTGTGTCTGAGGGGATTTAAGCCCCCGCCTGTCACTCCCAGAAAACTGCCCTCACCACCATGCTACAGGTAACTTACTGGAGGTTGCTATCTAGCTCTCCTGCTGAAACTGTGCTACCATGCATGGAATACATAAATAATCATTGAATCAGTGAGTTAAGAGAAGAAATGGGAATGACTATGGAGACATTTTATGAGGGCACTCCCTGAAGAGGTGGGACCCCAGAGGTATAGTCCCTGATTCAGCGCAAAGTAGAAAAGTTCTGAGAGGAAAAATTCAGGAAAGCCACCTCCAAGTCTCCTAATAGTTGAAGCACTCATGAGAGGCTGGGGAATACCCAAGTTCAAGTACCCTCTCTGCTTGATTCAGATCAGGAATCTGGACCAATTCTTGCCATCCCAATGAAGCCTATGCCACCAAGTAAATAAATTTAATTCCAACCGCAGTCATATGAATTAGTTTCTAAAAGTAATTTGGGAGCTACTATATAGAGCTGATCACAATTGCTATTATAATATTATTATTTGTACTTTGGTATTTATAGTCACATGACTGAACTTTGGGTCAATTGATATGGATGGTGAATACAGACTTGGACCTAATTTCCAGCACATACATGCATGATGTCATAAATACCTGCAGAAGCACTGAAACTCCAGTATAGTCAAATAAAGTCAGTCCACTGCAATCTAATATTAAAGCACGTCTCTCATTAAGGCATGGCTGTAAGGATGACTCACCTATATATTTGATACAAAATGAGACAGAATCTCCAGAAAGAATAACAATCTCTCATCAAAAAATAAACAACATACTGTGTTACAAAGCACTTTTTTGTACATTGGGAAATATCAAGCAAGGGAAGCCTTATTTAAAAAGTACAGCAGAAACAGTGATGGGGTAACAGGATAAAACTCAGAACCAAAAAATAGGAAATCTGAGGAAAATATCTTTCCAATAAAAAATACTTGGGTAGTGGAATAATCTCTCATCAGAAACGGAGCGAGCCTTTCTAACTCACGTTTTCAAAACTAGTCTGGACAAAATACTAGCAAATGTAGGAAAGTATTCTGTTCTGTTCTGTTCAGATTCCTATACTTGTATTCATCACTGCAGTAGTATCCGAATGCCTTTCAATAGTTCAACATAACTAATATCTATTACATTCTTCTCCTGGGGGAGAAGCATGTGTCCGCTCTTGGTATGTATTTCTCATTTACTTTTGGTTTCTTTCTGTTTGTTTTTTAATTATGCATGCTACTGTATATAAGTTGAGAAGGTAGATCAAAGAAATGCACTTTGCACTTTCTAGCAGAAAATGGTGAAGTGTGTAACAGTCTCTATGTCTGAAGGAATGGATTCTACTGCCTCAGACCAATCTTACAGTGGTAAGGGGCAGGTGACCCCAGCAAGACCTTACAATCTATGAAAAGGAATGGATCACCTAATAATTCCTGTCCATTATAACAAGAGCTGTGTATCTCTACAAAAAGTCAAAGCAACATACAGACATCAAGGCCCCGATCCAGGAAGTAACTTAGCAAATGCTTCAGTTTAAGTATATACCTGATCTCATTGAGATCACATGCTTAAAATTAAGCTCATGCATAATTGCTTTGCTGTATCATGGCCTAAGTCAATGATCCCAGAAGTTTCCTCACAGAGAGCACTGTAAAACAAATCTTATTTATGCCATACTGTGAATAAATATTAACATTAAAGTTAGTAAGCACAAACTGCAAA